CCCAAAAACAGCCCTGGGACCCCCAAAATCCACCCCAAAATCAGCCCTGGGACCCCCAAAATCCACCCCAAAAACACCCCCGGGTCAGAGACCCCCGAAATCCACCCCAAAACCACCCTGGGACCCCTAAAATCACCCCTGGGACCCCCAAAACAACCCTGGGACCTACCCAGGTTCAGAGACCCCAAAAACCACCCCAAAAAACAATCCCAGGATGCCCAAAATCAGCCCTGGGACCCCCAAAATCCACCCCAAAATCAGCCCTGGGACCCCCAAAATCACCCCTGGGACCCCCAAAACGATCCCAGGACCTTCCAAAACAACCTCAGAGACCCCCCAAAAACACCCCTGGGAGGCTGCAGGTGACCCAAAATGAGACCCTGTGGGGGTTGGGGGTCCCAGGAGGGATTTTGGGGGGATTTGGGGGGATTTTGGGGGGGATTTTGGGGGGATTTGGGGGGATTTTGGGGGGGATTTTGGGGGGATTTGGGGGGATTTTGGGGGTCCCACCTTGGCCAGTTCCCGGAGCAAGGTGCTGTTCTGGAGGCGGAAATCGTCCTCTTGGCTCTGCAGCTTCCCCTGGAGCATCCTGGTCTCGCCCAGCAGCGCCTCCACCTCCTGGGGACCCCCAAAAATGAACTCGGGCACCCCAAAAATGGGATGGGAACCCAAAAAAAACCCCAAACCCACCCAAGTAAACCCAAAATAGCCCCAAGGAGACCCCCAAAAAGCCCCCTGGAGCATCCAGCAAAGTCTCCACCTCCTGGAGACCCCCAAAAATGAACTCAGGCACCCCAAAAATGGGTTCAGATGCCCCAAAAATGGGATGGGAACCCCCAAAAATGGGATGGGAACCCCCAAAAATGGGATGGGAACCCAAAAATATCCCCAAACCCAAAATAGCCCCAAGGAGACCCCCAAAAAAAAACCCCTGGAGCATCCAGCAAAGTCTCCACCTCCTGGGGACCCCCAAAAATGAACTCAGGCACCCCAAAAATGGGTTCAGACGCCCCAAAAATGGGACAAAACCCCCCAAAAAGCCCCAAACCCACCCAAGTAAACCCAAAATAGCCCCAAGGAGACCCCCAAAAAGCCCCCTGGAGCATCCAGCAAAGTCTCCACCTCCTGGAGACCCCCAAAAATGAACTCAGGCACCCCAAAAATGGGTTCAGATGCCCCAAAAATGGGATGGGAACCCCCAAAAATGGGATGGGAACCCCCAAAAATGGGATGGGAACCCAAAAATATCCCCAAACCCAAAATAGCCCCAAGGAGACCCCCAAAAAAAAACCCCTGGAGCATCCAGCAAAGTCTCCACCTCCTGGGGACCCCCAAAAGTGAACTCAGGCACCCCAAAAATGGGTTCAGACACCCCAAAAATGGGATGGGAACCCCCAAAAATGGGACAGAACCCTCAAAAATTAACCCAGAGACCCCATAAATGAAGGCAGAGAATCCAGAAATGGGATAGAACCCCCCAGAAATGAACCCTAGGCCCCCCCAAAACACCCCTGAATCCCCCCCAGAGACCCCAAAATGAACCCAGAGACCCCAAAATGAACCCAGAGACTCCAAAACACCTCAAAATTCCCCAAAATCCCCCCGGGACCCCCCCTCAAAATCCCCCCCAGGACCCACCTGGGCCTTCTTGCTCTTACTGAGGGCCTGGAAAAGAAGGGGAGGGGTCACAGGGGGAATTTGGGGATCCCAGAAGGGTCCTGGGGGTATTTTTGGGGTCACAGGAAGATCCTGGGGGTGTCTTGGAAGGAATTTGGGGGGAATTTGGGGGATTTTAGGGGTCTCAGGAGGGTCATGGAGGGAATTTGAGGAGTCCTGAGGGGAATTTGGGGATCCCTGAAGGGTCCTGGGGGGATTCTGGGGGTCACAAGAAGATCCTGGGGGTGTCTTGGGGGGAATCTGGGGGATTTTAGGGGTCTCAGGAGGGTCCTGGGGGAAATTTGGGTGACCCTGGGGGGATTTTTGGGGTCACAGGAAGATCCTGGGGGCTCCTGGAGGGAATCTGGGGGGAATTTGGGGGCTTTTAGGGGTCTCAGGAGGGTCCTGGGGGGATTTTGGGGATCCCAGAAGGGTCCTGGGGGGATTTTGGGGGTCACAAGAAGATCCTGGGGGTGTCTTGGAGGAAATTTGGGGGATTTTAGAGGTCACAAGAGGGTCCTGGGGGTGTCTTGGAGGCAATTTAGGGGGAATTTGGGGGATTTTGGGGGTCCCAGGAGTGTCCTGATGTGGGGAGGGGTCACAAGAAGAATTTGGGATTATCTTGGGGACGTCTCCACCCTCACCTTGTTTGCCTTGGCCAGGTCCCTGTCCAGCGTCTGCACCCTCTGCCGCAGCCCCGACAGCTCTGGGGGGGTCACCGAAATGAGGAGGGGGCTTCCAGGACCCCCCCAACCCCTCAGGACCCCCAAAAACCCCCCAAAACCTCCCCAAAACCTCCCCAAAACCCCCCAAAAACCCCCGTACCGGCGCCGTTCTTGCGCAGCTCATCCGACAGCCGGTAATTCTCGGTGCGCAGCTCCAGCAGCTGCGCCTGGGGGGGCACCGGGAGGGGTTTGGGGAGGGGGCAAAGAGACCCCCGGGACCCCCGCCCCAAAATACCCTCGGTTTCTGTGAGACCCCCCCCGAGCCCCCTCAGGCCTTTCTGGAGGTCCAACAGGAACCCCCGACCCCTCAGGAGCTTCCAAACCTCCCTAAAATCCACCCCGAGACCCCCAAAACCCTTCCCGAGACCCCCAAAACCCCCTAAGGCTTTTCTGGAAGTCCACCAGGAACCTCAAAACCTCCCTAAAATCCACCCCGAGACCCCCAAAACCCTTCCCGAGACCCCCAAAACCCCCTCAGGCCTTTCTGGAGCTCCCCCAGGATCCCCCGAGCCCCCCAGGCGCTTCCAAACCTTCCTAAAATCCACCCCGAGACCCCCAAAACCCCTCCCGAGACCCCCAAACCCCCCCTGAAACCCCCGATCCTGACACATCCAAGGACCCCCAGAGCCGTCCCTAGGACCCCCTCAGTCCTCCCAAAGCCCCGGGACCCCCCAGGACCCCCCCGAGCCCCCTCAGGACCCCTCACGACCTCCCCGAGCCCCACCAGGCTCCCCAGAATCCCCCCAAAAGCTCCCCCGGGACCCTCTCTAACCCCTCCACGACG